ATACAGCTGTTTGTGTATATGTGCATGCACATTTATCCTGGTTTTCATACTTAGGTGTGAGTATACGAGCATCCCAATTCATCCTGGTTTCATATAGGAATGTGTTTATACGTTCATGCACATTCATCCTGGTTTAATACGGATGTGTGCGTATATGTGAATGCACATTCATATTGGTTTCATACAGGAGTGTGTGTATACGTGCATGCATATTCATCCTGGTTTTATGCAGGAGTGTGTGTATGCGTGCATGCTCATTCATCCTGATTTCATACAGGAGTGTGCCTATACCTGCATGCACATTCATCCTGGTTTCGTACAGGAGTGTGTGTATATGTGCATGCACATTCATTTTGGTTTCATACAGAAGTGTGTGTATACGTGAATGCACTTTCATAATGGCTCAAATAGTAGTGTGTGTATACGTGCATGCACATTCATATTGGTTTCATACAGTAGTGTGTGTATGCATGCACACATTGATATTGGTTTCATACATCGGTGTGTGTATACTTGCATGCACATTCATATTGATTTCATACAGCGGTGAACGTATACACTCATGCACATTCTTCCTGGTTTCATACAGCGGTGTACAAATACGTGCATGCACATTCATATGATTTCATACAGCGGTGCCCGTATACATGTATGCACATTCTTCCTGGTTTCATACAGCGGTGTGCGTATACGTGCATTGACATTCATCCTGGTTTCATATATAGGAGTGTGTCTGCACGAGCATCCACATTCATATTGGTTTTATACAGGATCGTGTGTATACGTGCATGCACATTCATATTGGTTTCATACAGAGGTGTGTGTATACGTGTATGCATGTTCATCCTGATTTCATACAGCGGTGTGCGTATACGTGTATGCACATTCTTCCCGGTTTCTTAGTTTTAGTATTAGGTGCCATTCCTTACTGTAAGGGGCGGAGGGGTAGCCTAATGGTTAAAGCGTTGGCTCGTCACGCCGAAGACCGGGTTCGAATCTCCACATGGGTACAATGTGTTAAGCCCATTTCCGGTGTCCCCGCCGTAATGTTGCTGGAATATTGCCAAAAGCGGCGTAAAACCAAACTCAATCAGTCAGTCCTTACTGTAAGAATATTATCGTAATCAAAAACATCATACTAATTCTGTGCGAGCTGTTTTCATCCTAATGTCATAAATACAGGACATCAGACAGGGCAACAAATAATACCAACATTCTTCATATGATCAATTAACACTCACTAAAATAAACATATTTACAGAAATGTGTTTGATAGCCTGTTCTTGTTGATATTTCAGAATTCCCTAGCTTTGTTTTGGATTTGGCCGATTGTTGAATTGGTTGTGTGAACTGTTGAGGAGAAGAGATTCCAGACGGATTTGTTTTCAAGGGAAGCTGCTTCCAGCCAGAGAACAAAGGCTTTAAGAAGCTGCAGCACTAACGAAGGACAACAATATATACGTCGTACATAGAGTGAGGGAGTCATGTTATAGCGGGAACTAGGGCTACAATAGCGTGGGGAAGCTTTAGTTAACTACACTATGTTTAAGATCAGATTATAATCCGTGAAGCCTGTAGTATAGATACAATGGATTGAGACTGAATGTTGATGAGTTGATGCTTAACACTTGTACATATGCCTTTCCATCCTTATTCTGATCATCACTTGCTTGATAACGGGGTTACAACAGAAACGTCGCTGTATTAAAGAAGTTGAACATCCATACATTGTTATCCTTCCTTAACCATACAACTGGTCGCCATCGGCTCCAAAGAGAAACTGAATGTACAGTATGTTTATTTCATTGTACTGCAGTAGGTGGTTGGCTTTGAATGAAATAATAAAAAATTAACGCTACGAACGGAACCCAGAGTCCCACGCATTACAATATCTTAAGGGAACTGACAACGTAAGTTCAAAAGTTTACATTATTACAGTTATGATCAATGTGAGCACAAATCTAATATTTGTCACAGGGAAAATAACCCTTTGTGTATACCAGTGTACCATTATAAGGAGATAGCAGATAATGCAGGTCTTACAGTGAAACCCAGGGTCAGGACAACCGGGACTCGAACCAACGATAATAGTTTTCTCGCACGCCTGATCATAACATCCTTGAAAATCTGGGTTAGAATTGGTCTTTAGCCACTCATACATGTCATGAGATTGATTGGTCAGACTCGCTATCGTTCTTGACACGTCATCGTTTCCAATTATTTTTTTAGATCGATGCTCATGATGTCGATCACTGGAGTGGAGTGAGTGAGTTTAGTTTTACGCCGCACTGAGCACTATTCCAGCAATATGGGGAGTGGTCTGTAAATAATCGAGTCTGGACGAGACAATCCAGTGATCAACAGCATGAGCACCGATCTGCGCAATTGGGAACCGATGACATGTGTTAACCAAGTCAGCGAGTCTGACCACCCGACCCCGTTAGTCGCCTCTTACGACCAGCATAGGTTACTGAAGGTTCATTCTAACCCGGACCTTCACGGGTGTCGATCACTGGATCGTCTGTTTACAGACTAGAGACACATAGTTTGAATATCAAACATCAAACATACAAACCTAAGGGAAACAACTCTGTACAGGAACTTGATTTTTACTGATGAAACGATGGTGATCATTGTCTTCTTTGTACACGTACAACCGCTCACGAGATTTTCCATTACCTGGTGTCAGTTAAAGCAACTTTACTACATTAATGCTAGACAATACATGGCTGATTCCTTTTCTCTTCCTTGTTCTGTGGTCCAAGTATAACTGTAGTGACAATTTATTCCCAATCCAGAAACATCCCACTCTTTAAAGCATCACAGATATGGTATCAATGCATATTTCTTTATTTAAGTAGAATGAACTCTGTGGGTGAAACTCGGCGTGTACATATATCAGCCTTCAGCCAAAACATTAGTTGTGCCCCAACCGTGACCATCTCGTATTATTCCGGCACAAGCCATCAACATGCCATGAACATCAGAACTACGTTAAACAAGAGTGATTGAATTAAGATTTAATGTCACATCGGCAGAGTTTCATCCATATCGTGAAGAAACAATTTTGACATTGATAAAGAATATGTGTATATGATAAAACATGTCGCCAAAGTACAATAAAACACCTAAACAATCACAGGTAAATAAAAACTAGCATGTTAAGCTAAAACAAATAGCATTTTGGACAATACAGTATGAAAACACTGGCTATAGATCGCCAACTGGGGACCATGGACGTTAGAGCCCAATGTTGATTTGTTATTAACAGATGTAATATTATTGCTTTGAAACTTGAAGTGAATTATAATTATTATTTTCTAAAAAATGTTTGAAAAGCGCACGTACAATCTCCAAAGCATGCCCGCAAGATCGTCAGAAATACACACAATTAGAAATCCGTTATAAAACAAACGCACGTGCGTGTTTTTGTATACCTGACCGTCCATGGCATTATCCTTATAAATAAAAGTAACCACATGAGGCAAGACAATTCTGTTAGGTATATCCTGTGTACTTTAGACATGACGATACATAATTTTGATAGATATTTAAACAATCATACAATGCCCCAAAACGACTTAAGTACTTGCGATTACTTATATCAAAGTACATGCAATCATCACGCGCGTTCTGATTGGTTTGTCATATTTTCGCACACAACACAGCGTCGAGAGGGCACGAGTATTCCTGGAGTTTACGGAAAGGGGCGAATGGTGACGAATGGTTGTGCCCAAATATACCTCTTTCAACAATATCATTTTCCATGGAAGCTCATTCCAAGCGTGTTAATCTCATTAAACGTAACAGAAACAAGGCTAATATATAGTGAACTATTAATCGTTCGACATAAGTGACTTTATCGTTTCATTTATTCAGCCATACATGATTGTCAAACAACGGGTGAACTTCAATATTGATCGTATGAGTCGTATCATGAAGCGGTCATAAAATCCAGATTATTGCATCGTCGAGGCACAATAATACTGATGTGACAAAGTGAACAAAATAGAAACATTTAATACTGGTCGTTGCAATCGTCACCACTCGCCCCTTTCCCAAACCTCAATAAGAGTTGGTAAAGATAGCTTTCATGGCTTTCTAGGCCATATATACGCTTAAGACGATAATATCTGATGCTCAGAGTAGCGTCCCTTCTGCGAAGTCAGGTGAACGACCGGCTGACAACGACCTCGGTCCAAAATAATGTACAACTTGACACAAAACATCAGCAACCGTGATGACATATCAGGTTTAGTTGCATTTCCTGTCCTACCTGGGATTTCTGTATATACAAGGGCTAAGGTTACCGCGTGTCATCTCGCAAACAAAAACGAAAATGGCTATAAACTGCCCATATGTTTTCGTTCAGTCTACCGGTGAATTGGTTATACAAATACTAAATAATATAACACACGGAAAGCTGATGGAATGGTCGGAATAAAATATAAAAGAAACAATTATTATATCAGAAATGAAAATGTTATTTTAGTTGGATTATTTACTGTATATATTTGAAATAAGAATGACCATAATGTAATTATGTTCACGTAACCATTTATGTAAACAATATTGAACATTTCAATTTAACTAATACAATATGTTAAGAACAAAAGTTGAGATAAACGATGAACTGTTTTCATAAAAATTAAAAATGTTGCTAGATGCAGATTGATTGCAAAAAAACAAGCATAGTCACGACACTGTGTATTTGGCAACCTTGGCAATTACAATTCACTAAATTTTCTGATAAAAGAAGCATTCTATGTAGTATGTATTTCACTTCAAGTAGAAATCGTCGGATAGGCGAGGTTTCCGGATATCCTTGGTCCGGAAAAGTGTGCGTCCCCTAAATGTGTGTAAAGTTCCATTTCCCGGAAGTTGGTGTCTAACGACTGTATATTCACGCCCACAACGCGATCAGAGGATTATTTGCATCTGTTGAATTTGCCGTGTCAAGTTGTCCCTGTAACGTTTCTCTAGTTCACGGATGGCTGCAGTCAGTTTGTGAGAGGTATTCTGCTCATCTGTTGCTCTTGCACATGCGTACTTTGTATCTTGCCTATTGCCCTAAACAGGTCTTGTATTTGATCATTCGCCATCTTTGATTGTGTCCAAATGTTGACAAGCACGGGAGGGTTGTAGCAGAACTGGAGAAATTCTTTCAGGAAACTGGGAATGTTCTTGAGATATCCCTTCAAAGTGATATCGTCATCTAGTGTTGTGAACACAAGCACTATTTTGTGTGATATTGGCTTCCTAGCAATTGCGCTGGCATGTTTGAAGAGCAGTTCCTCTTCATATGTCATTGGCGATGCCTTGACAACAAGCAAGAAAGCATCAGTGGAACTTGCCCTGCTCACCAACTCCTCAACAGTAGTCTGAATGTTCTGTCTGTTGTGCAAGGAAAAACCTGGTGTGTCCATTATCTGAAATGTCCTGTTATCCACGCTTGCCCGTTTCTTTTGACATACTGTTGTAGGTTTGAGTAATCCAGCTTCGAACAGTTTCTCGCCTGCAATTGTATTGGCAAGGAGACTTTTCCCTGTCTTAGCGTAGCCCAGGAGCACAACACGCACGGTTTCTGTGGGAACTGAAACACAAATGCGAACATTTATTTCAGTGAGTAGTCATCAGCGAGCTGCATTTTGCCTTTGAAGAAGGCAACATGCAAATTAATAATATTTTAGCTATAAACTCACAACACTGAAATGAAAAGGCATCAGCCGATAATTTACAATACGCGTTATGATACAATTCTTGTTTTCACAGGTATGACATAATCTGTGATACTAACCTTCATCGCGTTCGTAGATCCTCCATATCGGAGTCGGAATTGCCTTCAGCTTGTCCTGAATTGTCTCAGTTTGTGAGGTGTGGCGGATACCATGATGTGCTTAAACTGTGTCAAGTCCTGACGAGACTGGCGGAAAGATTCTATAGTCTCGATTGTCACTTCATCTGGGGCATGGCTGAAAGTAGGCATATTCACACTCCTTATCTCTGACCATCCCATCACACAGAGATTGCGTGTTAGAATGTTCGTTAGCAATAAGACCCAACACTAGGCTAAGCCACTAAACCTGCTGAATATACAAAGTACCTAGCATGTATGATCACTTAGCCCCAGTCAACACATTCTTGAAGAACGAAGCTATATGCAAAACAACCAGCTCAATATTTCATGCCCTTTACAATAATTCATTTGCTCTGATGGAGCAAATTACCTCTAGTATACAAACCTACTTTCTTTTGGTCTTTTCCTCCATGCTGTCACAGATGAGTAGTGTCTTCCCCTGCGTTCCAGTCTTTGGGCAGCTTCGAACGTGAACACAGTTTTCCCAGGTTGTGATTCAGGCACGTCTAATGGTTGGTGCAGATCAATATTGTCAAGTAACATTGACAACTGTTCTTTCTTCAAAACCCAGAACGCTCCGACTTCACTTCCTTTAGATGACATTGGGATCCTTGTTCTTGCAACTGCGGCTGTTAAAGCAGTCTTCAGTCTTTCAAATTTCGAATCGTTCATGTACTTTTGATTAGGAAAGCACGATTCAATTACCATAGACTTTCTCTTATGAACGGTATTGTGAAAGTTTTTCTTTTTGAGATATAGTTTTTCCTCGGTGGCCAAAAAGATAAGATTGAACTTTTCTGCTGTGTATTTTCCAAGAATTACCCTCATGCGGCGAGCCAATTCAGCATTATACTGTTCAATGCCATCAAATGCCTCAGATGCGAAAGATATATAAAATGGGAAGGCACCTTCGTGTAATGATTATTACGTCACAGTGCAAAATATCAGGAGGTTTGCTACTTGGCAAGTTTAAGGTTGTTGCAAGCGACGGACCAAATACAGCAAATCCCCTCCATTGTATGTCAACAGTTCAGCAACTCGTTTCACCACATGCGGACGTTCCTTCTTGAGAGTCCCAACAAAGTTCAGTGGTAGCATTGCCTGATCTGCGTTAGTAAAGAAGTATGCAGTTAAGAGTATTAGACACATACATGTCAGTCAAGTATTATCAGGTGCTATACTGTCTTGACAGTGTCCATACAGAGTCTTTAAATTTGTCGATATGGATTTGACTATCAACACTCCATCCTCTATAACTCCAGCACGATCATTTTGTGAAAGACCCCTTGTGTAGGTATTCCAACACGTTAGCCCTGGGGTATATAGAGCATGACAACAATTATAACGCGAACTAAAGGTGGCATTAGGGGTCGTTCATAACTTATGGTTTGGGTGTGGAGTGTGGGGTGTGTTGATGATGATGATTATTATGGAGAGGCATGTACAATGTGAGTGACCCCACCATCCCCACCACCCTAAAATTTATGAACAAAGAGACCCCTGCATGTCATGTACAAAATTGATGACACCCCACCACACACCTCCCTAGAACAATACCCGTGAAGGTTCGGGTTAAAATGAACCTTCAGTAACCCATGCTTGTCGTAAGAGGCGACTAACGGGATCGGGTGGTCAGGCTCGTTGACACATGAAATCGGTCCCATTTGCGCAGTGCGATGCTCATGCTGTTGATCACTGGATTGTCTGGTCCATACTCGATTATATATAGACCAATTCCATATAGCTGGAATATTGCTGAGTGCGGCGTAAAACTAAACTCACGCACTCACTCACTCACTCACCCCTAGAACAAAATGGGTGACCTCTCCTTACAATCATCATGAACAAGGATGCGGCTGTGCACGGCACGATAAAGAACTTTTAGACTGTTGAATTCTTAGACTTCTGGACTGTGACGATTTCGGTACATTATGTAGACATGTACAACAAAGCGATAGCCTTTGTCATCAGGGGTCCCTTTGTTAGCCTGAATTGTCATGTGTCAGTTTCTCTGCGACTTTTAACTGGTTAAACCTAAACTATCCCTTCTAAATCTTGGAATTACTGATTATGCATGCATGAATCATTTAAGTGTATTATGTTTTCATTAGAGATAGAGCGTCGGTGAATATGCGTAAGGAGTCGGTTATTCTATACCTTGTGAAAAATATGCATGAGCAGCATCGAAGCTGTCACCATAGTAGTAGGTAGTTGGCGGAAATGGATCACTGCATGGTAATGTCAGCCGGTGTATGTCTCTGTCTGTATCTGACCCTGAAGTTGATATGAACATGCTTATGAAACGAAGTTGCGAGGCTTGAGTATACGTGTTATACAACAATTTGTCTTTCTTTCTGATGGGGAGTTTTGGGTCCAGGGAAACGTAGGATCCAAATATCCTATGTTTGACTCCAAATGAAGAGTAGCAGTTCTTTAGGGTTTTGACAAACTGACAAACGGATAAAGAAAGATACGTACAATTCTCCGAAAGCACTCGGTATCATCGTAATTTCTGCAATGATTCATAAACACATGCTCATGATGCGCGTGGGTATTCGACGTTGATTTTATGAACGATAATTTGTGACCTTGGAAGTGTTTTCCACAAGTAACCTTTTTCATGTGCATAAAGAAACAGTTTTGCAAGAACTGGAGTTCAACTGGTGCCAAATGGGGTGGCTTCTTGTCTAAATGGCTTACCCCAAAATGTAACCTAGACGTCATAAATGAAGAATAACATGTAACAACTTTACTAAGAGTGTTACATATTTGTCAATCTCATCTCTAAATAATGTACATAGATATAAAGCTATCAGCGCAGTACATTAACATCACAGGAGATAAATACATTTGCTAACTCTACCAATAATGTTTCTATAATAAGGTAAGAAAACTATTTTGAATATATTTCTTATATACAAAAAAGATCTGGTATTCCATATGGTATTCCATTCTGAATTCATAGGTTGCTCTTAACTAACTGCTTGTCCATGAGTACATAATTCGGGATGCAGACATGTTATGTCAAAATAATGCACTAAAATGCAGACAACTCCAAACAGTGGCAGCACTTTGGGAAATATACTGAACCACAAAGAAAATGTCGCACCGATGGCGGTTCCTTAAAAACACACACTTTCATTCAGTCTAATAAACAATCAAAACGGAGGATTGAGTTCAAACGTGACAAATTACGGGTTAACACTAATCTCTTTCGGGAATCACATTTAGAGTTCACACAAACAAAATCACCAAAAATGGTACCATTAAGATACCCCCAAAGTCAGTATTATGTGTGGCCGGTATGGGCAACGATGAAAGGGTAGTGAATTAGCTGATTGATGAAAGCAATAGGCAACTTTTGGGTCCATACTCTGTGAAATGCCTGCTCGAATCCAGCAGCAGTTGTCGGCCTTGGTTGGAGGTCATTCAGTCTTCTTTGAATCTCGTCCCAATGGTGTTCTACTGGGCTCAAATCCGGACTGAGTGCAGCCTTTAGTGTAGGGCTTGGATGCCATGTCGTCTTGGGAAGTCCAATGTCACTCTGGCAGTGTGGGCACGAGCGTTGTCTTGCTGGAACGTCCAAAATGTGGTACAAAGTGGGATCTTTATAGCGAGTAGCTGTCACGTCACTTCATCATCCTGACCGAGATTCTGGAACAACTCGGTGCCAGTTATCGGGTTCAGACCGACTGCACCCTACACTATGATGCTCTTGGACCACACCACGAGTCTCTTTCAACAATACACTCATTGAAAACGGTTCCCCACGCCTTCATCCAGTCCTCACTCTGTCATCGACAGTCGAAACACAATACCGGCTTTCATGAGAGAAAAGCACAGTTCCCCATTGTCGATAACGCCAATTTCGATGCTGAGCTGCTCCATTGAAATCTGGGTTTGATGGTGTGGAGCGGTGAGGACACGACTACGATATGATCTGCACAACAGCTGAGCAAAACGTCTACGCACTGTATCGGCACTGATGTAGTCTGTTGTGAGCCCTGTCCCAAGACTTGGTTCCTCTGGCTCAAGATGTGTGTACCTACAGTTGGCTCAGGAACTGTGAACAGTTGACGTATGACGTGCACGAAGTCTTCGCCTTAAAGATCTATGTATCGTCAAGTTTCGCTCGAGATCTAGGTCGTAGTATATCATATTCAATAAGACCAGACTATATATACATGTATATGAGGTGGAGTCTCTACATACTCTCGTCTTATTGAATTTACCACGTCCCGGACCAAGACCCGATTCTCGCGGAAGCCGCGGTGGCTGCGTTGGACGACTGACTTTTTTTGTATGCTGGCGATTAGGTGCCGGCACTGAGGGTGTGGGTTTCGAATCCCGCATGGGGATTCAACCCAACAAAAGTACTACAATGTGTACTTTACCGCGAAAGTGCAATCCCAAATATAACATATGTTATGAGACCCGATTCGTTCAGTATTTCGTTTTACATTTCTGACATAAAGTTATACCGAGGAATCACTTACAGAAAATCAACACTTTCATGTGATGTCGAATAAGATGAATATAAGGATACTGTAATGCGTCTAATAAATCTAAATTCATAAGATTTCTTATTTATTTATCACGGTGGTGGTGGTGGTGGTTATATGAGATAACATTATGTCCTATGATAACTACACTTCATTCTGTGTTCAAACTGATTGCTGCGGATCGATGATATTTCTGATTGTGCTAGTGTAACCCGATGATGTTGATCATAGCATCTACCGTTGGATTCTCTGTGTTGACTCAAGTCTGATAGATGATTAGATAAAGCACCGAGGATAGATTACAATGAACCAGCTGATTATGCATGTGTTAACAGTGTATCATATACCCTGTAGAAAGATTCGTGGCAATCAAGAGATTTGCACAGGTAATATATATTAAACTAGACGCCAAAACCTGAATATAATAGAAGTGATTTCTGTCTATTCCTACTCATCATTAATCTTCTTGGCAAATTTACACAGGAGAAAAGCTCAGACGACATGACTAGGAAAACCCAGGTCTCCCAGTTTCAACTTCAATGCTCCAAATGTGAATAACCCACGAAAGACCTGTGTTCCGTGAACGGATGTGGGATTTCCTCTGACGTATCCTCTAATAGGAGTCACATTGCGATAAGTCAACATTAGATGCAGTGCTCTCGCTATCCTAACGACACATGAGTATGCCCGCTGTTGACTAGGTGTAGAAACGCTGCAGGTGAGAATGTAGTTTGAATTCCACAATTTGAATTCATTTATTCTACATTATAAACTCAAACAGAGCCACTGGCGCAGTTGTATTTCTATTAAGAAATCATTTATTTTGTGTGAATGTGAGTGTTAATATGTTTATGAGGTACTGACAAAAATATTAACAAATTCAACACCTACAACAAAGTTGATCATTCAACAAAATGGTAACTTCGTGCAGATGACATTTTCATCTATTTTGACAAAACTCTAAGGGCCGTTTGAAGACGACATGTCAGTTACAGGTGTTCCGCTTTAGACTTCATCCCCATCAGCCTGCGCTTGTCACACGAATCGACTGATTTGATTGCATGTTTTGCTTGATGACTTAGTTGAAACAGTCATGGAATGGCAGCGTCGGTTCTGGACTATTTGTCTATTTGTCTATTTGTCTACTTGGTCGATGTTGGTTGGTTGTTGTGTTTCTTTAACGCCGCAATAACAGAATTAATCCAGCTTCATTGCAGCTGTTTGTAGATAATCGAGTCTGGACCAGACAGTCCAGTGATCAACAGCATGAGCACTGATCTTCGCATTTGGGATACGATGACATGTGTCAACCACGTCAGCGAGCCTGACCACCCGATCCCGTTAGTTGCCTCTTATGGGTTGCTGAAGGTCAATTCTAGTCCGAATCTTCACGGATCTATTTGGTAGAGGTTCATTGAGGCATTCAGTAAAGGGCTTTCATGAGTGGGAACAGTTTAGTTTATAAATGAATTACTTCAACAGCGTACAATCAGTTGCATGAATCTTTTTGGGAAAGCTTTCAAAAAGTTGTATGCATATGTAGGGGACGTTTCCACTTTCGACACAAAGAGTGACATGTAAGATGTCCGATGGAAACCATTATTTTGACATGCACCATATGTTAATGTTAATAATAATATTCTTCGGATATGCATTGCATGCGTTTCTGGTAGGTGTTAACTGTGCAACAGGAAATGCGAACATGTTTCGGGAACACTGGGTGTCATAACTTGATCATTCACAAACACATACTCAACATATAGTGGGGAATCGACTCCACTCTGGTCGGACATGTTTTACGATAACAGAACGAATTGTGTCGTTGTAACGTGACAAGAGCAACGCTTCAGACACTACAACACTTCAAGCGACACTTGAAGTTGTTCGAAGAGATAATTCCCGAGTTTATCTATATTTAGGGCTAACCGGCCAAGCAAAGCTGGCTTGAGGAGGAAGGTCAACTGTTAAATGTCACGAATAAGTCAGTTGAAGTCTTCCTTTGTGTACTTATGAAACATACACTCTTCCTTCTGTATGTTTGGTACAATAATGTGAAATCCATTCCTGAGTGTCCCCGCCGTGACACTGCTGGAATATTGCTAACAGCGGCGCAAACTAAACTCACTCACTCCTTCTGCTTGTAAATCAATGTATTAAGGGGCAATCAGTGCTTCTCAAAGACATGTATTTTTGTATTCGCTACCAGTATAGATTCTATAGCGTGAAAATCAACCTTTTGTCATCATGGCCCGCCAAAGCCATCATATTTATACCAAATCTCGAGTATACCATGGATGTTCGGGCAAGTTCGCTATTTGTGCGTTTGTCATACTTTATAAATAAGTACATAAGCTGCCCGATCACAGGACAAACGGTACTGATTCGTTGTATCCGCGCTGCAAGTACGCATGTATACGTCCAATATACGCGGTTCATAGCTCGTGCCTGGAGATCAGCGTATTGCCGTGTATGGAATGAACAAACTTACACAAAACGATTGAGATGAATATGCGGTGGGTATTGTGCGTAAGACTGCGTATGAAAGAAATGTCAATGCGCAAGTCATAAGGAATTAGGATACGCAGAAGTGTGACAGAGTCCTAAGATCCATGAGGAGACGTTGTGTGGCTGTAAGATACCCTACAGGAGGCCAGAACCCTTACTGAAGACCTTAGTCGAAATGTTCTCCACGCTGTGAACTTCATTCTGGAGGGTACCTTGATAAATGACATATAAGTATACACCTTCAATAAAAGCTTCGCAGGTTACAAACGAAACAATCATAGGACTATTGTGCTAATTTCAGCATTTGTTTCATGATTTCAGATAAGATGTTGCTGTGCGTCCTGTGCTTGCTCCTTGCCTGCCTTTCTCTGACTCAAGGGAAACAATTGTACATCTCCTGTAAGCCTTGTGTATGTAGGGTCACACCCAATGGAAAGTTGATCGCCAATTGTAAGGGCAAACATCTATCTAACATCCCCAAACAGATTCCAAATTCAGTATCATACCTGTGTTTGTCTCACAACAGTATTAAGCATCTGCCAGGTGGCTCGTTTCAACGGTTCTCTGCTTTGGAACGTCTTGATCTGTCTTTCAATCAACTGAAAAGATTGGATGTACACACTTTTGCAGGAGCTACAAATCTGCTACATTTGAACCTCAATGGAAACCATCTCCAACTTAACGAATCAGCATATCCAGAGGGCATATTTAGAGAGCAGAAAAATTGCTTACGCTGAACATCGCAAACAACAACAAGATCGCAGATTCAGTATACCCAGATAAAGCGCTTGGTGATCTTACTGCTCTTCAGAGACTTTTCATTGACGGTGTTCGGAATGCCTCGTTTGGGACTGGATTTTTGAAACTGAAGAATCTTACTACGCTGTCGTTATCAGGCAAAAGGGGCCACTGCTCCGTTCAAACCCTGTTGAATACATCATTTCTCTACACTCCATCTGTCAGGAACCTGGACATAAGCAAATGTAGAATCAACTATATTGAAGCAAGTGCATTCTGGCCATTAAGGCAGATTGATACACTCGATGTATCTGACAATCAATATCTAGGGTTTGATCGCATGGGTGAAGCTATATATGGACTTCAAGGAAATTCTTCTCTAAGAGTTTTAAAGATCAACAGAATAGTGAAAACATTTGCCATTGGGGTTCACCTAAAGAAACACAATACGATATATTTCAGTGATCTTAATTTAAAAGAGATTCATATTGGTGCAAATAGATTGGAACTCATAGACCAGGAATGCATTGGTCACATGAAAACAGTGGAAATAATATCCATGAATCACAATAGAGTGACATTCGGATCCTTTCTCCTGAGTCTCAATACACTGACAAATCTGCGGAAAATGTATGCTTATAACCAGTATTCATCTAATATCCCCTTCAATCAAGTTGATGCAATTAGAGGCACAATCCTCTCCCCAAACCGCTGCCCTCATCTGAACCACAGCCAATGGTTCAATATTCACATAACAGCATCCATGCCTGTGAACAATGTGAGGCACATTGCAGTAATGGCCTTTCGTACCGTAACCATCATAATAGTCCCTATAATGATGCAAAAAATGACCAAACCAGTATCTTAGGTCTTGTTTTTCATATACCACTACCTCCAAATGCAACCTATGTAAATGTTAGCAACAGCAAATTGAACTATGATATTGTTGAGCTCAACTTTCTAACAAACCAATTTAAAACTATTGACATTTCACACAATGTCTTTCCAAACTGGATAGGTCCAATAAATGAAAGTCAAACATTTGAATATTTAGATCTCTCAGACAATTACTGTAAATATGTATCTCACAGATTTTTTATGTATGCTGATGGACTAAAAGTCTTAAATATAAGTCGAAATTACCTATCAGTGTCCCTTCTAGCGGACACAAATGGGCAGATATTTGGCAACCAAACAAACTTGGAAGTCATACGAATCTCACACAATCTTATTCGGGAACTGCCGTCATTAATATTTAGAAGACTTACCAGACTTGAGGTTATTGATTTAAGCTGGAACATGATGGCCTCCTGGAACATTGAAATTAGGCACATGCCGCACCTCCATACCTTAGACATCTCCGGAAACAGGTATGAAGGCATTCCAACACACCTGACAAATCAAATTGACTATATCATGAGTAATAGAAACGACACTTTTCATCTCAGCATCAAGGGTAACATCTTGAAATGTGATTGTTCGACACTGGAGTCATTAGAATGGATTACAAGGCCGTTTATTTCCATTGAAGATCCTGGCAGCACAAAATGCACCTTATCAGATGGGGAAACCATTTCATTTATAGATATAGAAAATGTTAAAGCCAAGCTCCAAGTACGTTGCAAAATAGTTATTCCCCTCCTGTCTTCAGCAGTAGTAGAATACTGCTTTCCATGTTGATATTTGGAGCTGGTATGGTGTACCGATATCGATGGAAGCTACGCTATCTGTACTACACCACAAGACGGAAGTACAGGGGGTATCAAAGACTTGGACAAGAAGAAGACCATTTTACTTATGATGCCTTTGTTTCCTATGCTGAGGCAGACAGAGGTTTCGTCGTTGAAGAAATGCGGGCTGTTCTAGAGAGAACCTACGGCTTGAGGTTGTGCATCCATGACCGTGACTTCATGGTTGGTGAAGCCATCACCGCCAACATCATCAATGCTATTCAGTCAAGCAGGAAGACCATTGCTGTTTTGTCACCTAGCTTTGCAAAGAGCTCCTGGTGTGACTATGAAGTTCACATGGCCAAGTTGGAGAGCATCCACACTGGAAGAGATGTCCTGTGTGTGTTGTGGTATACCGATGTACCGGACACTAGAATCCTCAGTAGAGATATTCGGGACATGATTGAGTATGATACGTATATTAAGTATCCTACACAAGAAAATGACAAAGAAGAGTTTTGGACGAAAATCAAAGCTGCAATCAGCTTTTAAGACTGATGCATCTGACGTTAAATGCTTTTGTATGATGAGATTAAGTGTGATCAGTCCAGCTGGCATCAGTTTCTTGGATATTAAAAGACTTGATCGGATTGTCAGCAATACAGGCAAACATGTGCAGCTCACATGACATATATACAGTTCTACTCATTGAACTTGAACATGATTCACTCATACTTCCCACGAATGGTGATTGGAAGTGTAGGAGACATCGAGGATCAAAATGCGTAACATGCTAAATTATAAAAGTGGAAACACTTATTACGAGACACAACTTGTCTGTGGGGAATGGGAACCTGTTTTAAACTATGTATAATAATCGAAGGTTGTTAAAGAATTATCCAACAAAGTTACATCCATACCCAAGTGTCCTCAAAGGAGGGAAGTGCGTATGAATACAAATTTGAAATAATCGTCACGATTGCATACAGCTTGGCGAGCTGCTTGGTGAGGGTCAGGTTGTGATTGTGTTGATGCAGAGTGCTTGCTTATGATAGCAGGAATGACATGTTGGGCCAAACAGGATTATTGCCGGCTTCAGCCGTCTACAAATGACTAATTTCATCTCCGTGGATTAACAAGCGGCGACGTTTAACCAGCACACGTGACACTGTAACATAAGAAAGTTTGAGACTCAAATGTTTAGTTAGCTAGTTCAGCCCATCTACCTGACTGGATTTCTTACAAAACTGACCAAATTGTTCAATAGGTATTTCAACAGCATCCGCACGTTACTGTCAATCTAGCACACTTTTGTACATATATGCTTTTCACGAATGGAAATATATCCCAGATACGCTCTTTAGATAATCTCTTTTCATGCACGTTGTTTTCAGTGAATGAGTGAGTGAGTGAGTTAAAATATAAAGTCACTTTGGCAATATTTCAGCCATATCGTGACTTCAGTGAATGAACAGGGATAGGGAAACAAGTTGTTACAGTTAATGTCAACACCTCTCCCATGTAACATGTCATATAGTTCGAATTGTAATGTCACTGCATGCTTTATATTATTGTGTTAATTAACAATTGTATGTAAAACAGAAACACTCATGTATTGTGTATTTGTATTTTAGTTAAATCTATCAAATGAACACATATGTAAGTAACTGGTCATGATCAGCTACAAGTTTTTATTTCGGAATAATTCATTGCACTGAGGATAATGTGCAAATTCAAGTTACTTAAGTATTTGAAGCTTTTAAAAGTTGTGACTTTGTGGTAATATTTTCAGAAGTGTGAATTATCCTTTTTCATTCATAATGCTGTCCATATTATAGCAATAGGAATAATATTCAGTTACATTAAGCTTCTACAAACAGTATCCGTCTAAATTGATTTGTATATATGGGTTTTCTAACGAATGATTTATATCCATTATATGGCCATCCCTTTGCACAAGATGCAACAAAATTTTGTGTAAATCTATCTACAACAAGGACATTCAATATTATGAGAAACTGGTAACTGATTATGTATTACTTGTATTATGTGAGTAATTTTGTGTCAATGAATGTAACTAAGTAATGAAATAATCCATTCTTGATTAACGTTGTAAATAACCGTAGGAATCAATGAAAGGAAGCATTCGAAAGTAATACCGGGAAGGACAACGGCTGCATATCAGTCAAATGTTCGACACTCGTGTTTCGTGACTGTTTGTTATGTTTCCTGTTTATGTGGTATCACCTGATCAACCCTACCACGTGACTGATGGCGGGGAAGTATTTGGTTCCTTTAAGTATCACTAATAGATAGTACCATTTTGGTTTGTCGAAAACTTGCATTGAAAGATTTTAAAAGCTGTTGGTAATATTGTCATATTTTTAGCTGCAGTGAAATACCCATTTATCACTGATAAGAGTTTCCAGATCATCACCATGGGAATATACATACAGTTAAGATAAGCTTCTACGAACAGTATTCGGTTACATTGATTGTGTACATATGGGTTTTGACGAATGATTTATATCCTTTATTTGGCCATCATTTGCAGAAGATGAAACAAAATCATCAAAATCTATCTATTAAAAGGACATTCAATATTATGTGAAACCTGTAACTAATCATGTGTGGCTTGTATTATGTGAGCAAAATGCATCAGTTCTCGATTACCTTTATAAACAACCGTATGAATCAATGAACGGACACAGTCGGAGTTAATACAAAAAGCAATTCCTTTTGCAAACTTGCCTATTATTTTGTTGGATTAGTTTTTTATGAATTTCTGATGATCAATGATGCTGAATCATGTCCTGTATGTTAAATGCTTTCATACAGTTCAGTTGATATAGAAGGAATTTTCCAGTCTCTTACTTCTATCACTACGTTGATATTGTTGGCTGGTTGTATTCACGCCAGCTAAAGCAACCCGGAAATGAGTATGGCGAAACCATACTACGCTTGGTTTATTGGCCAAGCGGACTTCCTGCTCAGTCCAAATTATATAGCAATGTTTTTACGTGTAACTACCTTATCGGGCCGACACTTTGGTCCGAAATCCGACATAATGAGAGTCCGAGATACAAAACATTTTATTATGACAACAAAGAAGGATTACGTCGGGACCGTGAGTTTAGTCCTGTTTATACAGCAATCCGAGAAAGACAGGGTCCGAGTTTGACAGAGTGCACTGTAGATAATAAGCAAGAAGTGGTTATCCTTTAACAGTGAACCTCTTTAAACTTTAGGCCTTTTTGTACATATTACCTAATGCTGCATAGTTACATTCAAACTCACATTTCGCTTCATGATGCAAGTCATTGCTTCTGTTTCAACATGTCTGTTTCAAAATTTGATCTTTTGTATATTACACTGTGACACATTTATGAACCTTTTTACTCATAACCATCTCCCTTTCTTTCATCAACTCTTCCAAAAGGAAAGAAATGTCCACTTCTTTAAACATCACCTCCATCACTATTGCTCACCCAGTCTCCTGTGTTCATGCATTTAGAATGATAATATCACTAACTGCAAACATTCTGATAATACCGCCACAGTTATAACCACTTTATGCAAAGATTTAGTTTTGTAGTTTCATATTACCTTCCATATATTTCTGTAGCTTACTGTTATCATCAACAGTGCATAGTATGCTCTTATACTGTCACTATTCAGTGTTTGACTCTTTCTTCTGTAGTTCACCGTATATACGGTTTGTACGGGCGTTTTTATTTAATAAACTTTTCAACTCATGGTTGCATTGCTTTGCTTGACAATTTTGTATATGAGATTTACTGGGCAAGGACCTTTTGATGCGTTGCATCAATGTACACTTCCATTGTCTGAGTCAGGAAGTAGACTCTCAAAGTAGGTGACAATATATTGTGATGTGTTTGTAGTAACCGGACTGACCTCTAAAATCAACGTTCATGTTGTTATTTACATGGGCAATCCCTAAGAACTAAATACCTAATAATATCTACATCATGTAAGTAAATAATTTGATCCACAAAAATATGTATCATGTTAAAAGGACACCAATTATTATAATAGATACTGATGGTACTTGTTGCTATTCTTCCGGGTGCTCGGCTATAAGAAAAATAGAAATATTTACTGATCGAGCACGCACGCACTCACGCGGGCACACACGCACGCACGCGCACGCACGCACGCACGCACACAATCACAATCAAACATGCTTACTTATGGAGGCGACGTTAAACCAAGTTGTACTTCAGCTGCAAACTAGAATGTGGGCGGTTCCGTTCCTCGCCACTCAACATCAATGACGTTCACAAATGTTACTTGTTGGTTCCCTGCCTAGCATTCGGCATGACGGGATGAGGACCTGTTGGCTAGGAGACCATACTATACTGAGTCAAAAAAGAAACTTCACAAAATGTAATTTGAAAAATAATGAATAATTTTTTTCCGATGATACATCTATCTATCCGAAATGGGATCCCTATCTTTCGACTCTAGAAAAAACGTTAGCAAAACCCGCTCAAACCCATCCATTCGTCGTGCAAATGATGTAAGTGTCAAATCAGGTTTTGCACATGCAGTCGATCACGTGATCTTCGCATCGAAGTTTTCTTGATATGCACGTGTTTGCATTGGCCTCAAGAACTGAAAAAAACACTTTTAAACCACAGTTCTTACGGTACTTGAAATGCCACGATTGTCAAATGTGCAACGTGAACGTGCCGTTGGCATGTTGCAAGCGGGAAGATCAGTTATTGACGTCGCAAGAGCAATGGGATGCAGCCGTCGTACTGTAAATGACTTGCGAGGCCGTCTACAACAAATTGGCACCACTTCTGATCGCCCAAGGTCGGGTCGTCCACGTGTGACGTCACGAGCAGAAGACCGTCAAATCGTCCTACGTCACCTACGTGGTAGATTTCTGCCGGCTACACGAACCAGGGCTGAGATGTTTAGAGGTTGACTGTCCTAACAGACCATTCGAAATGGGTTGCGCACTGCCAATCTCCATTCTCGACGTCCATATCGTGGGCCAATATTGACGACGTTTCATCAACGTCAACGTCTGCTGTGGGCCCAACGTCACCTCCGATGGACCCAGAGAGACTGGAATCGAGTCGTCTTTAGCGCTGAATCCAGGTTTACCCTCAAATTCGCGGACGGAGACGACGTCTTGAACGGTATGCCCAATGTTGTGTACAGGAAGTCGACAGATTCGGGGGCGGAAGTTGCATGGTGTGGGGTGCTTTCTGTGGGAACAACCGTTCCCGACTTCTGGTCATCCGTGGAAACCTCACAGCTGCTGTTTACCGCGACCAGGTGCTCACCCCTGAACTCGTTCCTTTCATGGCGGCTCATGGCCCAGGTCTACAGTTCCAGCATGATAATGCTCGGCCGCATACCGCGATGTTGACACGAAATTTCCTTCAAAACGCTGGAATCAACGTCATGGACTGGCCATCGAGGTCCCCTGACCTTAATCCAATAGAGCACGTTTGGGATGCACTTGGGACAAGGCTTCGTGGTCTTAGGAACCAACCTCAGAATTTGCAGGAACTTGGCGCTGCCTTGCAAGAGCAATGGCGCAGAATCCCCAACCACGTGTTCACAAGCATCAGGCCGTCGATGAGTAGACGGTGTTTGGCAGTGGTGAATGCGCGGGCAGCCATACACGATATTGAACTGAGAAATTTCGCATTTTTATTCTTGTGACTTGACATTCTGTATACCCATGTTTTGGAACGGCGGTGTAGCCTAATGGAACTGATTATGGCACTGTCAGTGTATCGAGTACATCACACAGATCTCAGCAATGAAATAATAACAATTTAACCATCTTACTATCTCTTGTTCTTTTATAGTGCCCTGAAGAAAGAATGTGAAGTTTCTTTTTGACTCAGTATATATCTGAGTGGAGTATTCACGTTAAACTGCGACCTGGTATCTGGCTGGGCTGTTATCATCAAACCGACGTTAGTAAGGGGGAGGGCAAGCACAATACACAAAACAAACAATCAATTCCGAGTGTCATGTTAGTGTGCGGCCACCAGACGTATCTTAATAAATACGGATCCCACAGCCTGAGACGTAAAATCAGTTCGACAATGACATGAAACAGCAATGTCCATAACGTTTGATACTGTTCACCCAGGAAACACTCTAATCATTACTCTTCCTGAAGATCTAACCATCATTACTTGTACAAACCCTCTGGGTGACTTGCTTGTGGGAACTTCATATCAAGGATGAGTAACAAGACTAAGTCCCAAAACACAAACGTTAAAGAGCCTTTGTAAATAATTTATTTAAACGTAATAGGAAAATAATGCTGGTTCAGTTATCCGATAATGGTACCGTGGCCTTGTGATTGGCATGCCGCGATGTTGGCGTCAGGGATGACGATGAAGCCGAAGGAGTTTCCGGGTACTTTCATCGTCCCACTTCCCAAAGATCTTGGCATCATGTGTGGTATTTGGTTATTGACAAGTTCCAGAGTTTTGCCATTGAGTTGGACTTTTCTGGAAAGAAAATGAAAACTGGCAAATGTCTCTCAAAGTTATCTTCATAATTTGAACCAATTATTTATGAACCGACTTACGACACAGTGATAACTGAAACACGGACACAGTCCTTAAGCTCAAGAGTTGAGGGCAGTGGGGTAGCCTAGTGGTTAAGGCGTCCACTCGTCACGCCGAAGACCCGGGTTCGAATCCCCACATGGGCACAATGTGTGAAGCCCATTTCTGGTGTATCCCGCTGTGGTATTGCTGGAATATTGCTAAATGCGTCGTAAAACGATACTCACTCACTCAAGAGTTGACAGAAAACATATCATGTTATACAAACGTTGACGTTAGGTCTCCTCCCTCCGGAGTCAGCCAGAATCTGTCCATGCTATTGATGTTCAGATCCGATATAGTTAGGAGTATGGGGTCTTTATTCAAGTTGAGGGCATACACTGTGATGCTTCCAGGCTTGTAGTTATATACGCTGAAACATCAAAAGTGATGTCATAACATATGTCAATATGTAGGATTATTACTAAACCTACTAGAGTCATTTCATTTTTTTTAAATATCATACGATTGACTTGTGAGGACATGATGTCAAGTGATATCATTTGTTTTCAGTAAAACAAACCAAAATGAACCAGTGATGTCAAAACAGATGTCGTGAAAATTCAATGAATGTGAAAATATCCTCGAATTGCCTTGGCCGACCTGTGAGGACACAATGGCGTCATGATGTTTGATTAATGTCACGTGCGTATAGTTACTATGTTGAAATTCAGATGGCGGCCACGGGGCGGCCACATGAAACATTACATTGTAATACATTTTTGTGACCTTTGAACCGTGATATATTCATGACATATGCCGATACGGCAACTACAGAAGATTAGTGTACAATAAAAAACTAATCAACATATTCATGTGTAAATGGAAAGATAGCTGTAAAAATAATATGAATGGATCAATGAAAAACAGTAAAGACACCGGGTGTTCGCCTGAAAATGGAAGTATACTGGACAAAATAAGTTAGGGATATTGGTATTTTATGATTGATATTTTATCGGTGTGTCAATGAATAAATGGATCATTATTTATAATTTCAAAATTTAAATGTATCCCTAACTATTTTTGTCTAGTATATATATGTTCTGCCTATATGTTCTGCACAACAGTACTCCAGCCATGCAACAGAGGCGTGTAAACAGACCAGATAATCAAGTTGTTGATGGAACGCAAATACAGTTAGATAATAATAAGTACAGAGATTCGAAAGCGTGTAAGTAACGAAAAGTGTTTCGGAATAGATTTGCTTTGCAACACATTAAGGGGGCACGTTAATGTTTTGTAGTTGACTCTGCATACTAAAATATGCTATTTATCCCCAATATTCTCGGAACTTCAGTTGAATTAAATATAGGACGTCAGTGCGGAAGAAAAATGCAGTCTAACTATCCTCAGCAACAAATTCCGTTTGGTGTAAAGGGAAAAACCGCTGTGAAACGTACAGAGCAGAGCATTCGGCTCAGCAAACATCCTGCACCCTGAGATGATGTTCTGTACTTCGGCTACAGTATTGGGCGTAATTATGGCAAACATTATTTTTCAAATTCAGTGTTTGCATATTATGACTTTGATATAATGTTCTTACAATATTGGTAATTCATATATGTATAGGGGCGGTGGGGTAGCCTAGTGGTTAAAGCGTTGGCTCGTCACGCCGAAGACCCGGGTTCGATTCCCCACATGGGCACAATGTGTTAAGCCCATTTCTGGTGTCCCCCGCCGTGATATTGCTGGAATATTGCTAAAAGCGGCGTAAAACTAAACTCAGTCAGTCAGTCAGTCATATATGTATAGCATATGCAACATTCACACAATTAGATGAAATGTCTAGATGACCAGAACGCTACCTGCAATATTTTGGAATGTTGGGTGTCTTCGTTCGAAACATGTATGGATACGATAGAGAATGATAATCCTATTCATTGTTTCATCGTTTCTTGCTCGAAAACCGAATTGCATTTGGATTTATATTAAATTTTTTGTGAGTTGAGTTTTTTTCGAGCAGCCAAACAACGTTCCATTCATGCCCATTGTGGACGTCGTTCTTTTCATTCTAAAAGATATGTTTAAGTATGATAAATGTGAAGGTTTTCGAGTATACGCTTTACAAGTTTTGTAAAAGTATATGGTTTAACATCCCACTTGTTAAGCTTCGTACAGTGTGCATACAGTCGGATGCTGGTAGATGAAGATGGAACATCAAATACTTTGTTGCCAACAAGTCTCTTGTAAAGAAGCGTCAACCAATAGTCCTGTGAAAAGAAATTATGGTGTTCCTCTATAAGAAAAACAGTATTGACTTCTGTGTTGTTCTGTGCCTATTCAAGCTGTCCCAACAGGACATTGAAAATATCTGTTAAAGTAGTGATTATTCCATAATAATAAGGTTTTAAAGGTCTTCAACGATCTTTGTCAAGAGACTTCATATTGCAGTCGGCCAAAACTACATTGTTAATCGTTAATATGACATAGTACATTTTGACATTACTTAAGAATACACACAGGAGTAGGGTCGTTATTGCTGTCAGTAAGCGAGTAATGCCCTCCAAAGAGTGACTGGCGGAGGACCCTTTTAAAACCATATTTTGCTGATACACCTAGTTTATCAAGCCACCTAAAAATAAGAATAACCATCATATATCCGTACATGTACACATCCTTTCTTAAGACACATAGGAAACTGGAATATTATGCTAAGACATCAGCAATGGTACACCATAAACACGTATGCTTGAACATACAATTGATTCCAATTTTCCCAAATGTACCAACTCCCCAATCTCCATCTAGCAAGCATGTTTTATCAATTGGCATCATCAACGTATACTGGCGCTCCATCGGAAGTGCTCTGGTTGACATTATTCTGCTGTATTCAATGTTTCTTACTGACCCGTCTTACAGAAAACTTCAAACCAAAATTCTTTGATAACTAAAATACTCACAGATTGCCTGCCACATATCTATCGCCTATACCAGGAGTGCCGCCCCCATAGCCAGAAGAAGTCTCCCCTAGCCACGCCACCAGACCATGATAGCTTCGGACTGTATTCATCACTGACTGTAGTTCAGGTATAAGACGGTCCATTATTGTATAGTCAGAAAAGTCTTCGAGTTTGGCGGTGTGTCCATCAAAGTAGTAACTGAAACAGGAATTTGTAACTGTGTTACTGTATACACAACAATCACTTAAACAAATGGAGAACCGAGTTCAATTCACCACACGGATACGATGTTTTAAACCAATATCTGGTGTTCCCCTCCGTGATATTACTGGAGTATTGCTACTGACATACTCATTGTAGGCCCTGATACTTCCCCACCCTGAAGGAAGGTACTCACTGATGGATGGTCAAGACGTCTATGACACTGGCTCCACCCAAGGACAGGAAGCTGGAAGGAACGGTCACTTTTCACAGGTAGTAGGGACGAAACGTTTGTGGAAATGGATTCTCTTGTGTGTGAAACTTTTACGCTTTTAAGTGGTTTTAATACGGTTTTGTACTTTTCACACTTTTGATGTGAATTGATGCAATTTCTATTTTGTACATACTTTTTAATGAACTTGTCTTTATAACCGGCTATGTCAGGTCCAAGGATGAGACTAGACTTATAGGCCGTTCTTTGGAGGACTTGTTTTAGGTCCTTGAAGTCACTTGCCACCTGAGCATCACTGATTGTAATGTTCCGATGTCGGAAATAAATATGAAAAATAGGTACAATTAAAATAAATTCAGCAAGCACGATATAAAAATCTGGCAACGGTATCAATTTATCATGGAATAAATAACAATGCGAAGTTCAAAATGTAATATTAGTGATGAAAATCTGCTCTCGTTCTTCACGATAATGTGAAAAGATCACCCTGTGTGCATGCGGGATGAGAGTATTCACAATCTCCAGGCGGTTGGAATCCAGTGGTCCGGTAAAAACACAAATTAACCAACCTGACTACCGATCCATTCAGTCACCTCATACAAGTACAGGTTGTTCGGGACCTCCTCCTCAAGACATCCCCAGCAAGAATAACTATTATGTGTGGTAAATGCCCCTGAAACCTACCATTTCCTAGTTCAATCCCTGCAAAAGGATATCCTTTGTCAGAGGAATATTTGAGCAGCAGCTTTGCATTTGATGGATTCCACCTCGTTCCGTTGCGGAGCACCAGGTTGAGACCAATCACCAGTTTGAAGCCAATCTTGTGAACAAACATGTTAAGATCATCCCAGGTGTTTGCTGAAAATAAGTGTTTCTAGATCAGGCATCAAATAATACATTCTTTCAGTTGTATATCTTGAATATAGAGTCAAATCACACTTGGAAGCATCTTCAATCATGACAGTTTGCATAAGATTTCGTGAGCTCAGAAATATGGAAATTCTTCAATCAAAACGTACATGTAGATTCAAGGTCTTTCTGGGGAAGGTTTGTTCTAGAAAGATGCAACAATGTTATTTTGCTGTCACGATCTGACATCAAATAATACATTCTTTCAGTTGTATATCTTGAATATATAACAGTTTAAACAAGATTATGTGAACACAGAAACAAGAAATCTGTCAGTCAAAAGGGAGACTCATAGGGAGACCTTTCGGTGAAGGTGTTTGCTAGAAGGATGGAACAATGTTTTATAGCTTTCACCTGGGAGCTGGAACTGGTCTCCAGTAGCAATGTTGTGGGTCGGGTCAAACACCATGTAGTCCAGTGACGAGCCACCGATTCTCAGATACCCTGGAGCTAAAGCTTTTCCCAGAGTCAGCAGTTTGGGAGAACTGTTAAAACAAACACGTTTTGTGTGCTTCTTGAACCATGGTAATAATCAACCTATATTCCCTGAATAAATGTAGTCCTACAATCGAACAGGCTATTTTTACCAAGATTACAAAGAACGTCAAAAGACTCTTTATTCACAATGTGTTTTGTCCAGGTTATAAGGCCCCGGTAAAACTGTCAAAACGTCTTATGGTATTCCCTATTTATACTTGCACCATATGTTCACAGACGAATAACTGACTTTACTTCGCACCGGTTTTTGACAAGTGCCGCTGATGGACCAGAATGCACCCGACCTGGTATCATCTCTATTTCATAATGTTCATGATACAATCCAGACTTCTACTGTGGAAAGTGTTCATGGCATTTATTTGTGGATATAAATGTATATTTTCATCCGGAACCTCGATTTGCAAACAAATCCGTCAACCAAGTAACAAACCAATCAGACATATTTGCCCCGATGTTTTATTACCTGACATTGTGATACTTCAGATTAGACCTCAGTTGACTGCCGGCGATGGTGACGCCAACAAACATGTCATCTATCACCTGCAACACGTGGTTAGTTTTACCCTGATATGTTCGGTGTGTAGGGACACAGTAAACGGCAGGATCCAAGCCAGTCCAAATAAACACAAGATCATGATATCCGGGAACATTTTCACCGTTACTTCATTTTGAGATATATACCTCCTATGTTCACTTCGGTTTGGGCAAACAGCAGGTGCCACCAAGACCTGACAATTGATAAGAAGATGGAGCCACATGTATGATTGAGATGATTAAGATTATGCCTAGACTTTTGGTCAAGAACTGGGCTTGTGTGTATCTGTTTTGGTATCTTATCTTAGTTTTATTACGTAAATGTGAAACTGAGAAAAATCAAGTCCCGATAACATTTGGAAATATGTAGACACACGACCTATCCTTAATATGACGAAGATACACTTTACATTTCTGTTGTAGGTGAGTTTAAACACTTTGAAAAGTGATGACGCTGAGTCTAACAGTGCAAAATCTGCAAATAAAACTTTCCTGGACGATCGAAAATATTCTCCCATGCAAGCTTGTGTCGAGTCGACAAAGCCCATTGTCGAATATACAGAACACATGAACTCAGCTTGCACTGGGTCACAATCGACCACAAGTGGATTCTCCTTTAGCACTATTTAAACGCCTACCAAATATTTCGTCACAGCTTTTAACCAGTTAGTTTGCACATTGCTTTTGCGTGTTTGTGTTCTGTTGTCTCACTTTAATTTTGTAAAAGTAACATTAATAAGCTTGTGTGTTCTAGATGCCAGTCCTTGCTACAACAGTAGACTGGAAATGCTGTAAGAACCATATTGCTCCCTCTTCCATAGCTACATGCTGTTTGCAGGCTAGTTTGTAATTAATTTGACTACATACTGACGACACATGCAAACGCCAGACAAGTATTATTCAGAAACCTGCGGGCTTCCAACATGCAGTAAATCGTACTTCTACTTTTAGTCAAAGTAACCCTACATGACACCAAAGGTGATGTATCGGATGTATGGGATGTATCGTCAATATTGTACACACTGTAGTACCACATTCTCATTCTGTGAGTGCAGTAAGCATGCAACTTATCCAAGCATTTCAAACTGATTTGTTATTGCGTGTGCTGTTTCTCAGGACGGGATTGATGTATTAAGATTTGTTCATTGTACATCAATAAATAACACACATTTCCAAAGATGTTTGGAGAAGCGACAATTCACTAATGATATGTATAACCGTCTCTCCTGTCTTCATGTCAGTCTAGCTGACCTAAATTGATGATTACAACATGCAAAGTCTCGATTATTCTCCGAAACAAGTTTGCCTATAATGCAAAATCAAGGTGAACATATAAGAACGGATCACTGAAAATCCGTAATGACACCAGGTGTTCGTCCCAAAAGGAAGCATGTAGTTTCTGTCCCTCACTCAGACCATCTGCGTCGAATGAAAGTCTTTCTTGCCTGACCCATCCCAGCAGTACCGTCATGAGATGGCAGTCTGTAACAAATCTGGAGATCTAAATATGTTCGTGTTGCAACGCTGTCCATCAGTCAGGGCTATTTTTGTTTTTGTTGTTGTTTTTGTCCAACTTAATGATCTACAAATGTTACCTGAAGATCACTTAATCACCACACTTTAGCCATGTATTCAATGAGCACCGAACACACAGTAGCGAAGTAAAAGTACGTGGTAATATACATTCAAACGTCAGCCCTTGCCTTCGTTGGGAGTGAATGCGAACAAGGCGTTCAATGTATGAACAAATATTAAATATGTGTTGACGATGTGGAGCTTTACTGGTGATAAGACGCGTTGGTGCAGGGAGTTGAGTTGAAGAATCATTTAGGCAACAGCTTAACTGTCGCAAAGCCATGATCTTCCTGGTCTAAGGATGCAAAAGTAACCATATTCCATATATCTTGTAAAGAGGTGATTTTAAAATTAAAACGTGTAACCCTAAGATCGGTTCGTACCATACTACAGTGTGAGAGCATGGGAAAACCCTCCTTTTGGAGCAGTTTATTCCATATTATATGAACTTAAGAACCTTCTAAACCTTCCAACCATTTATTCAAACACATACTGTTGTATTTGCACAGTGTGAAGTCGTTTCAGGGATGAATATAACTGTATAATTAAATAACCCTGTGTTGTGTTTCCTGTCATATTTCACTCTGAGAAACATGTAGATTAACTGAAACTTGTAAATAGAAGTTAGTAATAGAGGATGTTATCACAATTAAGATATTTCAAAGGCCACCTAACACGTCTACATTCCAAAAGACAACCATCATGGCGGTTTGTAAACATTTTATTAAAATTTTCAGATGGCTATCCGACAATGGTACCGTGGCCTTGTGATTGACATGCCGCGATGTTGGCGTCAGGGATGACGATGAAGCCGAATGAGTTTCCGGGTACTTTCATCGTCCCACTTCCCAAAGATCTTGGCATCACGTGTGGTATTTGGTTATTGACAAGTTCCAGAGTGTTGCCATTGAGTTGGACTTTTCTGGAAAGAATATAAAACCTGGTTGGTCTGTTTATTCTTCTTGATCATCTGTGGATCCAACAGATGTCCTGCAACTATAGCATGTGTGAACAAGTTTGTCGTAGAATGATGATTAATTGTTATGGATATACAACTTCTTTTATTCTGTGAAAGGCGTTGTCGTTGTCATCACTTGCTTGACAACGGCATCTATGTCGAAACTTCACCCTTCACAGAATAAAAAGTTGTATATCCATAAAAATTGTCATCATTCTTCATCAACTCAACTTCTAAAATGTCCATCAAAGAAGAAAGTTTGTCGTAGGTCATTTTACAGATTCCTGCGTCAAGAGCTGCTTTTGAGGCAAATGCCTCTCAACTTTATCCTCATTATTTAAACCGATTGTTTGTTGATGGATTTTGCAACACGGACACAGTCCATAAGCTCTAGAGTTGAAAGAAAACATATGATATACAAACGTTGACGTAAGGTTTCCTCCGTCCGGAGTCAGCCAGAATCTGTCCATGCTATTGATGTTCAGATCCGATATAGTCAGGAGTACGGGGTCTTTATTCAAGTTGAGGGCATACACTGTGATGCTTCCAGGCTTGTAGTTGTATACGCTGAACCATGAAAAGTGATGTCATAACATATGTCAATATGTAGGATTATTAGTATTACTTTCCTTGAAACCTAGTCAATTCATTCATTTTTTGAAAATATCATATGAATGACTTGTAAGGGCATGACGTCATAATGATTTGAGTGACGTCATTTGTTTTGATGACGTCACACAGTTGCTAGCTATGCAAAGATGCAGATGCCACCCACGGGAATCTCACATATAGGCATTACATCTCTGTAACGTCTTAAGTCGAATTCGATATATTCATGATACGTACCAATAAGAACAAAACATTCCTTCCTGAAAATCACGGACACTCAGCTGTTGTTCTGCCAGTACCTGGCATAGCTCTAAACTGATTCAAATTGCAATGACTGTGTGTATATTTTGGACTTTGATAAAATGCTTTTTCAAGGTGATTAATGGTAATCTATGACCAAACTGTTGTGTAGTGTGCATTGTTGGGAAATGTTGACCAAGTTGTGAATACAGTTTATATTGTGAACTCACTTGTTAAGCTTTCGTACAATGGGCATACAGTCGGATGTTGTCCGATGAGGATGGAACATCAAATACTTTGTTGCCAACAAGTCTCTTGTAAAGAAGCGTCAACCAATAGTCCTGGTAAATGAAATCATGGTGTCATTACACGCTATTGTTTAGTGCAACCCATGCTTGTCGTAAGAGGCAAATGATTAGATCGGTTGTGGTCAGCCTCGCTGACTTGGCTGACACATGTAATCGTATTCCAATAGTGCTGATCGATGTTCATCATGTCAGTCACTGGATAGTCTGGTCCAGATTCGGTAATTTACTACATTTCATACAGCTGGTATATCGCTGGGTGTAGCAACAACATACAGCACAAACAAACAAAACGAATGTGGTTGATGTCGCGATGGTCGAAACAGGATGATCCATGAGAGACTACCTCGAAGGCCTTGGTCACTACATACGGCCTATAAGCACAAGGTACTGTTCACCTATCATGATATGGAATTCCGACATAATGAGTAAGTGAGTGAGTGAGTATCGTTTTACGCCGCTTTTAGCAATATTCCAGCAATATCACGGTGGGGAACACCAGAAATGGGATTCACACATTGTACATTGGGAATCGAACCCGAGTCTTCGGCGTGACGAGCGAACGTTTTAACCACTAGGCTACCTAACCGCCCCTCCGACATAATGACATTTTGTAGCTGTTAATATGACATGATAATATATTAACGTAACATGCGTTCACGCACAGGAGTAGGGTCGCTGTTGTCATCAAGAAGTGAGTGATGCCCTCCGAAGAATGACTGGCGCATGACCCTTTTTATACCATATTTTGCTGACACTCCCAGTTTATCAAGCCACCTAAGATTTTGAACAAAATCACAGTATTAGATTAATAATCCTTTCTTAACAAACCATGTATAGAAAAGAAGAAAACAGTTGGACGATAATTGTGCCACAGACACCGAAGACGTCATCATCAATGGTATATCCTACCCGTGTAAACTTTACAGAACAATGTCTTACAGTTGAATCCCAATATTTTCAAAATAGTCCTGGTGTTTCTGCAGAACTAAACGCATCAGTAATCACCATCTAAGAAATATTTATTAGCAATCGAATTCTAAATCAACATATGCTGGCCCTTCATTCAAGGCGTTCTGCTTGACGTTCCTACATTGCTTTCTACTTTTCTGATTACAGGCTCTTCATATAAAGAAATCTACTCTGAGCATGAAACTGTTTGAAAAGAAAACGTTAAGCAAACACCCTTTGAATAGCTAAAATACTCACAGATTGCCTGCCACATATCTATTGCCAATGCCAGGAGTGCCGCCCCCATAGCCAGAAGAAGTTTCCCCTAGCCACGCCACCAGGCCATGATAGCTTCGCACCATACCCACCACTGTTTGAACTTCGGATATAAGACGGTCCATTATAGAGTGGTATGAAAAGTCTTCGAGTTTCGCTGTGTTTCCATTAAAGTAGTAACTGAAAAGAATAAAATCTAACACAAAAAGTCCTAACCGTATTAAGGTACACGCAACAATCAGCCAAACAAACGTTCCTTTCTATTTTTGTTCCTCTTATTATTTTGTATATATTCCTGTTATTGAAGTGTGTTACACAAAGTGATTGGTGATCTACTCATTTCGTTAAAGTCATCCTCCCACTCGGCGTCCACTATAAGCATCAGTTACCATCCCGCTGCTACTATATATCCATTATTCGGCAAATATGTCTTCGCTGTAATCCACGGTTGCTGCTGGAGTGAGTATGGTTTTGCGCCGCTTTTACCAATATTCCAGCAATATCGCGGCGAGGGACACTAGAAATGGGCTTCACACATTGCATCATGTAGGGAATCAAACCAGGGTCTTCAGCGGGACGAACGGATGCTTTAATTTGGCTACCCCAAGACCCGATGCTACTGGATCATCCATAATGACATGAATGATTCATTGACGTCCACGTCCCTGATGCCCTGATACCCAAGGACGATACTCACTGATGGACGGTCAGGACGTCTATGGCACTGGCTCCGCCATCGGTCAGGAAGCTGGAATTGCATGATCACATTTGACAAGAGGGTATCGAGGAAGGTATCACTTGCATTTACCACATTCGTGTTTGTGGAAACCGTTTATCTGATGTGTGAAAAGATAAAAGCTACCGAATGGTTTAACGCCGCTTGGAATAATGAGGAACGACAGATGGGACACAGGTTTCAGGCGTTTGAGCTCGGGCAAGGTAAATCCAAACCTCAAGGATGCAACTAAAGGGATTGACACACTCGTGCTCCCATGTCAGTTATTGAATGAATGCTTTAGATTTGACACAAAGGGTGAGACTAACATACCAAAGTAAGCACAGAGGTGGTTCAGTTTGTAAAACAACATTCTAGCACTGGGTCTCTAAGCACCATATTCCCAAGTGTAGCGTATGAAATGTGTATTTAATGCATACTTGTTTAAAAACTTGTCTTCATAACTGGCCACGTCAGGTCCGAGGATTAGACTAGACTTATAGGCCGTTCCTTGGAGGACTTGTTTCAACTCTTTGAAGTCACTTGCCAGTTGCGCTTCACTGACAGTTGTATTCCATTGTCGGTAATAAAAGTTTGGTGCTTCATGGACAAAACATACGAAGGTAATTATGCATTACGAATAACAAGGGATCCTGTCTACACACACAGTATGGTACATCAAGGAGAAGGGAATTAATATACAAATTATATTCATATCATTCTTAATGTTTTAAGGGTGTTGCATTCAATGTTAGTGTGAAAAGACGCAGATAATTCAGTAATAATACGATGTGACCGTCTATTGTTTAACGCCCAAATAGGATACGTGGCACGTATGAACGAAATTATCCAGCCTGATTACGTATCTTTTCTTGTTTAGGACCTGTTCTGTGCGGATTCCAAACAACTATATTTCAATTTTTAAATTATCTGTGATAGATGTGACATATATATGGCTTCAAACCTACCATTTCCCAGTTCAATCCCGGCAAAAGGATACCCTTTGTCAGAGGAATATTTGAGCAACAGCTTAGCATTTGATGGGTTCCACTTTGTTCCGTCACGGAGCATTAGGTTAAGACCAATCACCAGTTTGAGTCCAATCTTTGAACAAACATGTTGAGATCATCCCAGGTCGTTGCTGAAAATATATGTTTCGGATTTGCATCTGTCTAAAACCTATATGGTTTCATATATGTTAAAACAATAAGGCCAACCAAACACTGCATTTTGATGCAGATTTGAATAAAGAAATCCGTCGACAAATATCAGGATTATTGAATTTTGGGAACGTAGCCATGTTCCTATCTAGACATATGACAGTCCTCACTAGCAATGGTCGGAAGACGGGGTTTCCAGACGTTGGCCCAGTTAATGCAACAGCATTGACAGTTTTATGGAATGATACTACATGTATTCCAAACTATTGTCCGATCTGGACTCGTTTGTATCAGCACAGTAGTCGGTAGTGGTTTGAAGTAAAGTTGTTTATATTTGTATATTGTTGTTCATTTTGGAAGATATAACTATCCTATCCAGCTATCACCTCGGAGCTGGAACTGCTGTCCAGTAGCAATGTCGTGAGTCGGGTCGAACACCATGTAGTCCCCTGATGTGCCCCCGACTCTCAGATACCCGGGTGCTAAAGCCTTTCCAAGGGCCTGCAGTTTGGGAGAGCTGTTGATAAAACATATTTTTAGGCTCAACAAAATGCACTGGTAGTCAAATTACAGTCCTCAAGTGATTTGGAGTTTACACCCACATAGCAATTACTTGCAGCGTTTTGGAGCAACGAGGGGTGAAACTTGCTATTTGATCATTGAGCGGTCAATGATAAAGCTGGACAGAAAGGCAATCAATGAGAAAAAGCATGACTTCACTTAAATATTGTGTACATTTCATTTGTTTTAGCTATTCAGGAAACCTAGACCCAAAAATGAAAGCAAACGTCATGAATTAAAACCCAATATTTGAAATGACTGGTTCCCTTGTTCATAATATCTATATTGAATTTGGAAGTGGAATTCGTTAGTAAGCAGTGTACTTAGTGTTTTTCCCTTCTGGCTGATCTGTTTCATTATACACATGAATCGAAATTCTCCTCGTAATTTACCACGTAATTTACCACGTAAATCAACCGCCTAACCCGCTCAGCTAACGCGACTTCCACAAAAATGGAAGTTGGACAACTGGTAGTCTAGGCTGCGGCCTTTGTGTACCCCTCTGATAAGTGTTAATTGGCACGGCTCCCACGGATTTACCACTGATTTACCAAAGTGAACTAGAAATCGAGGAGACCAGTTGGACATCCTCATCTCTTTCACTTTTAGATCTTTGCATAAGATTCTTTGTGACAAAACACTCTAAAGAAGACTCAAGGTGTGTAAAGAAAGTGATTCTTGTGTATTTGTGTTGTTGTGGATATGTAACCGATCTATTTGGATCTATAACCTGATTACCTGGATCTATAACCTATCTATGTGATTCATAACCTATCTATTTCGACCTATAAGCTATTTATCTGGATCCATAACCTATCTATATGGATCCATAACCTATCCATGTGGATCCATAACCTATCGATGTAGATCCATAACCTATCTATGTGGATCTATAACTCTATCTATGTGGATCCATAACCTATCTATGTGGATCCATAACATATTTATGTGGGGTGGACCATAACTTATCTATGTGGACCCATAGCCTATCTATGTGGATCAGTAACCTATATATGTGGATCCATAACCTATCTATATGGATCCATAATCTATCTCATATGGATCCATAACCTATCTATGTGGATCCATAACCTATCTATGTGGATCTATAACCTATCTATATGGATCTATAACCTATCTATGTGATCCATAACCCATCTATATAGATCCATAAACCTATCTACATGAATCCATAACCTATCTATGTGGAACAATAACCTATCTATATGAATCTATAACCGATCCTTGTGTATCCATAGCCTCTCTACGTGGATCTATAACCTATGTATGTGGATCCATAACCTATCTATGGGATCCATAACCTATCTATTTGGATCTATAACCTATCTATATGGATCCATAACCTATCTATTTGATCCATAACGTATCTATATAGATCCATAACCTATCTATGTGGATCCATAACCTATCAATGTGGATCCATAACCTATCGATGTGGATCCATAACCTATTCATGTGGATCTATAACCAGAATGATGACTTCGGGTTTTCCCTTTTTGTCTAGCAACATTTTAACAGGTCTAACCTTTGGTGTCTAAATTTCACAACTTTAGTGTTCAGTAGAGCAGTCTCTTTCAAAGACCGCCAAAAGTTTTAGGGTAGGCGTGTAGAGAAGGTCATTAAAGTTCACATATAACTGACAAAATTATGTTAGTCATCGCATTTTGTCGCATTTTGTTAATATGGATTCTATTGACCCTAAAATATATGTTCAATCATTTCCACCCATCAACAGGACCTGCCCACAACCCCATCTATCAAGTAACGTAATCTATGTAACAGAATGAACAGACATGTTTGCACAGATGTTATGCCTACCTTACATTGTGAAACTTCAGATTGTACCTCAGCCGTCCGCTGTCAATGTTAACCCCGACAAACATGTCATCTATCACATGCAACACGTGGTTAGTTTTTACTCTGATATGTTCGGTGTGCAGGGACACAGTAAACGGCTGTATCCAAGCCAGTCCAAATAAACACAAGAACATATCCATGGTCATGTTAACTGTTTCCCTGTTGTAGGAGGGTAAAGTGCCCTTCTTCTGTGGTGCCGAAAGATAGCAGGTGCTACCAAGCCTTGGCAATAGATAAGGCAGTCCAGACGCGTGTTTCACAACTTCCATGAATTCTAATGCATATATGTATTTCAATGCCTTCTAGTGTTTTTATTTGCTATCTAACTACCACCTAGATATCATGTTTCTTAGTTTCAAGGATCGGCTTTATTAATGCTAAGTTTGACTTCCTGCTTGTATTACCATGTCATCTTTAAAATGGAAACCTATTTTCTAAACACATGCCATGCACCTTTGGATTTTATTTCAAAATACAGCCTGATAGCATGTTGTATATTGGAATAAACAAGCACTTTAAACAGATAAGATCAAGACAAATTTGTGAATAATAGAAATGAAAGCTACAAGACCCTTTCAATTCCTATACAGGTAATAAGTTGGGAGGTAATACAATGGTCGGTTAGTGAAAATGGCACCTGCAAAATAACTGTCCTGGACATGGTCAGATCTGTCTTAAGGGTTGGCAATAAAGACACATGGAAAGATGGTATGTTTCAAAAAGAGACAGTGTTCACGTAGATATGTTTCCTGTCCATGTCCCTGAAGTGACTGTTTTCCTCTGTGTAACATGACAAACTATTACACATGGATCTGCAGAATAATATCATATGTGTTCCGCACCTTGACGATATATGGGATATGACAGTCTATTAGAAATGTACCTATCCAGACACTTTTGAGGTATCTGTGAATGAGTGCATGGTGTAATTTATTATGAGACCCTGTCCAGCTGTACATATTGTACCTATGTGTGAGATATCAATGTATATGTGTCTATAAAATAAAGGACCATTATCCTACATGTGTGCAGACCATAAAGCGTACTCCGCTATCCGTAGATGGTGGATTTAAAACCCAGTGCAAAAAGCCAGTGACTGATGTAATGAAGACTGATCCACGCCGTCCGATGACAATGCCATTGTTTGCATTTCATGCAATTTCAACAACATGTAATGTTCTTTAAGTTTCAGAGCAACTGAGAATTATGGACGGCGTGTTGTTCGATATGAGGGAACGCCATGATTGGAATAACTATGTCTATGCATAAATTAAATGAGGATTTGACACTTGATATGTTTTTCTTGTTGTTTCTCAGATGTCCAACCTGACGGATTAATCGAAGGGTTTTCTTAATATTGACATTGTTTATCAAAATAAATGAGGTCATATGGACATCTCAGTTTTTAACCTTTTGGCAACGTGTCTTTTCTTTGATTAACAAAACGGAGTAAACAATTTAATCATATTCATATGCGAAACAGGACACAAATAGTACCCATGGGGATACTGCCTACTTGTCTAGGTATTCTACTCCCAGCTTTGAACAAGACATCCAGCAATTACCCATCAAGGTATCGGAATATTGAGATATTAATGTTATCAACACACCAATTACATAACATGGTAAAATAAACAAAGGTCCCACAGATTAGAGATTTTACTTTCTGCTTTAACTTTTGCCTGGACATTACTTTACTGTCATTTACATCCATGGAATTTGTCAATATCAGCATGTGTAATTCGATCTTGTCTTTATGTTCCCCAAAACTGATTAGACCTAGTATTTGTTTGAAGGTTTTGTTAGTACATTGCTGGAAACTGCAATGTAGGCGTATGTAAGTCCATGCTCATGAGCTGAGGAATCCATCATGCTAGTTGATGTGTAAATGAATTGTGTGTGATGTATTATGCCAGAATAATGTTCTTTTGCTGAAAGCTGTGTGTATTCCAAACTGCTAAATGAACGTCAACCTATTCTTAAAGGGCCTGTACTGTAGGTAATGTTACACACACGTTCACCCCAGAATATACGCCCGAAGATTACTGTGACAGTATTAAGGTATCCTATCGTTCACTCACACATACAAACTTAGATGTCCCATAATCTCTATTCAGATTGGTCAATGCATTACCCGGCGTTGTCGAACTTCCTGGTTTAATACTGACGCATATATCACGCTGGCGTTATAAATAACATTCATAGAGATGAATAACAACCTTCCTGCCACTAAGCTATGTCGAGACGAAAGATCCATGCAAACAGTTATGCATGCGTTCCGAACGAAGGAGTTATAATCACACGCCTTTTCGTCAAATATATGTGATAGTAATTTGATTGTGTTGTAGATTTTGTGAAGAAATAAGTTTTTTAACCAACGTAAATATTTCATTCGGAGTGCAGAATATTTTGGACAGGAAAATAATATGTGAACTTCATCTTCGAGGTCGGGATCCATGCAATGTTCACAGCAGATGTTATAGTCGTACTGTTGTTTATCCTTCCTGTATGCATTTACCTTCAGATTGTTCAATGCTATTCTGAATTCACAGAATGCACGTACCAAAGACTTGTCTTGGAGACAGGTAATATATGTTTCTGTGTTAAAATCAGTGTTAAATCCAGAGTATAATGACAGATAACTTGAGGTAGAAACAGACAAATGCCAATCCTGGATAAAGATATCCTCTAACCTTTGTTTGAAAGTGCTGATAAATAGCTTCTCGTCACCAACTTGTTGTGATAACCAAGTCCACGTGAAACCTGCTGAAAAGAGCAGAAATCTAACCTCCGATCACCCAGTTATGTCTTCCATTATCGTCTAAAGATTTGATAAGAATCTAATCTTGGATATCTAAAGGAGTCCATTCGTAGTAGTTTCAACCAGTATTTGACTACTCTCATTCTGGTATACACAAACACACTGCAGCGACCTGTTTCACCCAATATTGCTTTGTTTGATGCAAATTTCCCAACAGATATGAATCGTTTAAGGAATGCGGTATGGACCTTTTCAATTGCTTCATTGTATAATGTTCCCCATATCTCGGAGCCATAAAGAAGGTTGGTAAAAGTTTACAGTGGAAGATAGGCATTGCTGTAGAGAACGTCATTGCTTGGTTACGTTGAAATAGCTGGTACACTGGCCTTAATGCTTAACATATACAGTTGTAGAGTAAGGGGCGACTAACGGGATCGGGTGGTCAGACTCGCTGGCTTGGTTGACACTTGTCACCATATCCCAGTTGCGTAGATCGATGCTCATGCTGTTGATCACTGGATTGTCTGATTCCGACTCAATTATTAACAGGCGGCCATCATATAGCTGGAATATTGCTGTGTGGCATAAAGTAATTAACTCACTCACTCACTCACTACAGAAGTATAACGGTGGTACATGTGTACACACGTACAAATGTATACACAGCTACCTCGAACATACTTATCCGTATCACATAGATATGCTGTAAACGTTTCCGGTTTGGAACAATATAGACTTGGTGTATTATTCCTATAGATGCAGCTTTACGCTCAGACACATATGAACACAACTACCTCTGACACACAGTTTATCTCTATGACGTGGAGGTGCATGGTATCCCCAGTGTGAGAGAAAGCGTGATATCAAAGTAACCTGAGAGCCGGTTCATAAAAAGAGCTGAAGGAACATTTTACAAAATCAGTCTCTAGCGGTTAAAGACATGTACAGTCTCGTTATATGAACGAACCAGCTTCGTTCCTTTTTTACTTCTACGCATGTCAAAACGCCCGTATTACTCATGGTCGAACAGCCGAATAATCCACACCCAGTGGGGACAAATTCAATATATTCAAAACTCATTGAGCACTGACAATACCAAGGTGTCTCGAAACGTCCACGCCATCGGGCTTTTTGTGTAGCTGTATATATTAAAACTCTCTGCTTTGGAAACTCTCAATGGATATTTACACATGTTTGCATGTCTGGTATTAAAAGTAGTACCCGACGTCGCTGAGGGGCAGACTGATCGAAAACTTACCTTCAGTATGAATCCTGTCAACTGTGTGGTGGTTCTGTGTTGCATTGCAGTGATCACATGTGTGGAGATTCCGTCACGTGCCAAGGGGACGGCGTCCATTATTTACAGCAATAAAGAGAAATAAAAGGTAAGCGAACTTAATAACTACTTTCATTCATCTGTTCTAATAATTATGGTTAATCTTATAGCCATTTCAAATATTTGGGATAAGCCTTATTGCAATATTTTATATATCGATCATAATATGTATTTCTCAAGAATGATGCAGTTGTATATGTACATGTACCTTGTGGGCTATTACTACTAAGCACGGCATATAGCCGAAGAAACTGGCATAGGATGCAAGTGCTCTTTGGTTTAGTGAAACTTTAGAGCTCGTTTATTGTGCCACACAACCAAATACAACAAGTATGGTGATTCGTAATTCTTATCCCTGATAAGCAAGTACACGCCTTCAAATGACACGATATTGGTCCTACTGGCGACACATTAACATTTAAGTCATTTCAGTCGAGTATCAGAACAGAAAATAGTCTCATCTAATGGATGTGTAAAGTCGATCGATATCCTGGTAAAACGACAATGAATATATCACAACCAACTGTCCATTCCTTACATAATCATAGCACGTTTAAACAAAGACGTCATATATGCTTATTTACTGTTACAATGTTCGGATGTGCCACATCCAACAACTTAGAAGATTTACAACACGGTTCAAGCACTTCGGGAGGCCTTTGGGTGGCCTACCGGTTAAAGCGTTCGCTCGACACGCCGAAGGTCCTGGTTCCATTCACCGCATGGGTACAATGTGTGAAGCCCATTACTGGTGTCGCCCACTGTAATATTGCTAAAACATTGCTAAAAGCGGTGTAAAACTAAACTCACTCACTCAAGACCATCGAAAACCATCTTGTCATTTGCAACTTCAGCATATTTTTACTTAGCACGTGCATTCCTTTGTAATATTATTTTTAACATGTTATAATTAAGTTTAACTACGCTTGCTTGCAAATTATCAAGGCTGAACCTACACCATTTTAAACAATTTTGAAACATTTCTTGTAAGGCAAGTTCTTTTGCCATTCTTGAGGAATTTTCCGCAATATATATATATATATACACACACACGCATATACATATATATATATTCTCAATATTTCTGGTTGTACTATATA